TTTCTTTATAAGGAATAAAATATTTCAGTAAATGTTAATCAACAACGTATCCTTCTAAATTAAAATATTCCTTGTGAGGAGTAATATCAAATATGTTCTCTTTGAACCTGAAATATGATAATGCTACAAATATACCGCGATACCCTGAGATGAGTGCAGATTACATGTTACTAGTGCCAATTGTTTTGTACTATGTCGTATTCGAGGCCTCTCTTTTACGTCCACCGCTACAATTAATCTGTTGGTGGGCGTCTGTCCCTACCGTTCTCGTAAATGGACTATGTCAATCATGCGCTCGAGGGAGCGTCTGATTAAAGACATTGGTTCTGCTGATTCGCCAAGACCACCTTTTATACCACTTCTATTTACTTCATTACGACTCCAGTTACACACTCGCTAATATACTCTGGCTTCGTATACCGGGGAAGTATACAAATTGTCGTTAAGTTCATAATGATTGCTGCGGAATGCAGCGAGAGCACAGATCAACATTAGAACAGAAAGATTTGTGTGATTACTGCTAACAGAAAAAGGAAAATAGCTAATTTTGTAAAGGGGAAATATTCTGCTATTTTCGTTAACATCTTCAGTATAAGAGAACGTCGGCGTATGTGTGTAGATCGTGCCCAGGTGTAATATTTGTTCAAAAGATGTTGGCCTTTTCACATTCCTGAGTATAAAAGTGTTGGATTAACAAACAAAAAACGTATCGGTTATCAAATCTCACCTTACACCTTGCGGTTCGTCTATGGAAGAAATTTCAGCGTTCAGCGCGCTGCAGAGATGAAGGAATTCACAGTTTAAAATATACCGTCCAGTTTGATACTTCTATTAATTGTTTTTTCTTTCTTGCAACATTAAATTTCAAATTGGAGAATTGAGTTTTTCTCTACAGCAAGTTTTAATTGTAGGAACTTAAAAACGTGAAAATGAGATGGATCCAGCAGATTGAAAAATAATCGAAACAATTTTTGAATTCCCCATAGATGTTTAATTCGCTTTATGGACATGAATGTAAATGGCTGACAGTGTGTACATGTGTCAGCTAAATTGGTATAAGTAGCTATCTAAACTCTTGTAATCGGAAGTTAGAAAGGACACCTCAGTGGTTCAACAATACAAGGAATCCGTCATGTCCAATCTGCAGCTCTGGACTTGTTTGATCTGGCTTACCGGTAAGTCACGTATGTTTGACATAAATCTGCACTTGTATATTTATGAAGATAAAAGGGGTAAAATGATTTATGAAAAGAAGGGTCGGTAAGTACGCATTTGTATGAAGTTCTAACAAAAACAAAGGAAGCTCACCTTGTGGGGGAGAAAAACATTCTACACATGTTCACTGTATTTCGTTCCTGTCTTTTATTAATGGTCCAAACGTAATGTATGCACCATCGTCAAGAAATGCATGAATATATACCAAAGACAATATGGTTTGTGTTTGGGGTAGGGGTGTGTGTCTTGCTGCACATCAACACTTTGAAGGTTATAGTATGTCCTTGCCAACTTTTCCAAGTGAAAAGACCGGTGTATTTTTTTTTTCTTTTCCTGCTCATGACATTTTTTAAATAATGAGAATCTGTTGCTTAAACACAAGGGCTTCAATAGTTCAATACCATATATGAATATAGTGCAATATGTTGTGACAGATTGGACATTCTCGAATTATGCGTGCATTGCAAAATTTGTTTACTTTTTTAACGCTTTTTAGCGTCCGCTTTCAAGTACAGTCCTCTTGCTCAGTCTGACATGTACAATTTTCTATTTTAAAAAATAGAAGAAAAAAAACACTCTCGTTCTCACTTCAGGGAAATGATTATATCATATGTTTTGCCTGACAGAGAAGATTTGGCTATCAGATAAAGTAGCTCATCGAATTTTGACAGTAAAGATCTCCTTGACACGTTTATCCCTCTATCTGTTTATTTTCAATTATTTCGACAGTCACTTGCGCGTTAGTGGAACTAATATCCCGCCTCTAACCCGTGAAAATCTTTTAAAGTCAGCCCTTTTGATAAAAACTGTCTGTATCTTCAGCTGCATCTATGTTTGTTTTACGACGATGAGATATTAAGGGAATCTCGTGCTTTTCAAATTAAGCGGACATTTATCAATCTGTACCAATGCTTTTAACTCACGAAGAGCACTATCGGGTAAAATCCTTTGTTATAGTAAAATATCAAAACCTTTGAACAAGAGTTTCATTCTAAATTTATTTCGTATATCACTTGTGTTCGTTTCTCAGTCTCTGTCAACTGTTTACTGTTTCCTAAATACTTTTAAACAAATCTTAATATGCAATTTTGGTGAAATCGTAATCCAAGCCTGTTTGTTTCGTTTATATAATATTTAATAGTTATGATAAGCATAGGATGCGTGACATTATGAAGTAATATTTTGGTGTAGGTCTGAGAAACAGGCCAACTTACTTGTACCAACCTGTCTTCAATGCAATAATAAAATTTAGTAAGATGGTAGTTATAAACTGACCGAAATTGTT